CTTGTGCGGTCGCCCGCCCGCCCGCGCGGCACGCTGCGGCCAAGGGCTCGTTCCACGCCAGTGTAGTGCTATCTCTGGCTTGTTGAATTACTGTAGAGTATGGAAAGGTGGAGTTGTATTTTCACAGAAATCTTTGCCCTTTTAATGTTATTTGGAATTCTAAGTTCTGTGAGTGACTTTTGAAACCTTAGAATGGCCTCTTCGTACAAGCCTGTGGCGGTCGCCTGACTAGTGCCTCGAGACGTGGTGGTCAGGGTCTCATGACGTTCTGCTTACGTTTCTTTAAGACGATATGAAATACTCAGACTCAGTTCATTAGTCAAGTCTTTTCTGAGCCTGCGATACAGCGGAATGAGGCTGGGTGGGGGGCTGGGTGGGGTGGGCAGCGATTAAATCTCAGATTTCCTGTGCCATGCTATGCAGCTAACTGGTTTACAAGCGTAGGTTTTTCTGTGGTTGTGGTTGTGGGTGCCAAATGAAAGAAAACTGGGCAGACCACTGTTTTGAAAATAGCAACAATGCAAAAGCCAAGAGCGTGTAAATGTCGTAAGGGTCACAAGAGGTAAATAATGAGTATTTTTACAGAGAACACAGTTTTAAAAGTTGTTGAACTAGACAGTTTGTGCTCATGGCATTTAGAACCTTCAAATAATGAACTGGCTTTGAAGATCTTAGATCCCGCATTCATACAATCTCAAATTTTTCATCTCTTCAATCTCTAACCTATAATGGAAAAAAAATAAAAACAGCAAATACCCCCACATGAAATTTGAGACTTTTCCAATGCAGTCTTATTTTTTTGTCAGTAAACACTTTAAAAAACATTATTTCACTAATGCTTAATGTCATCTGTTTTGAGATCACAAAAAGTGAAGTTCCAGCAATCTTTCACTACATTATTTTTTTTCCTGATATTTATTAACTCTAAGGGTATAAAGTTTCAGATCTATTTTAAATTTATATTTTGTCTTTTAAAATTTACTGAATGTTATCATATCACTTGTTGATTGGGGGGGAAAAATGACTTTTAGAAATTGCCAATATTGTTTCCTAAAATGATAAACAAGTAATGAAGGCATATTTCCAAAAACTAGAGATTATAACAAGATCACTGTATTTTATGCTATCTACAATGATATAAAATTCATAGAATATTGATTTTCTCCTTGTGTAATATTTTTCAGAATCAAACTTGTTAGTTTCCCCATTTCATTCATGTTTGAATTTTCTACTATATTAAATCCATGAGCAGCTCCTTGCTTTAATTACTCTGACTTCAAGGCCATGTTTTAAAAAAGTCAGAAGGTACTGTGAACTCTTTCGAAAAAAATACAGTAATGTTTCAATATAAATTTAAAAGGATCTCTTCTGAAGCTAGAAACCATCTACAGTTACCATCAACTTCATTAATACTGTTACCTCTTATCCAAATAGTAAACTTTTAAATTGTCCTGTGTAAACTAATTATAGCAGACATTCTTACCAACTCTATACTCAAGTAAAATTTCTCTGTATTCCCTGTGGAAATGTAACTGTGAGTTTCAGAAATTCTCAAGTGTTCAAAGATTTCTGCTTTTGCTTCTTTTGGGCATCTTGGAAACCTTATGAACAACTGTGAATATAAAAAGTAAAAACGAAAACAGTAACAAAGCCCTCTATACCCAAATGCCCAGCACAGTTCATTGTTAAAAAACTAACAACCAAACCTCAAACTACTGTATTTCACTATCTGTACTGAAAACAATGCATTGTGACTATTTAATGTTGCACACCATTCATTCACTGTATAGTAACTATTGACTAAAGGGATTTGTCTGTGTTCTCTTGTGGTTGTATATATCAGGAAAATTATTTTTCCAAAGAGCCATGTGTCATATACTATTGAACCACTTTGACATTGAGATATTAATTTCTACCCTTGTTACTACTTACTAGTAATAATATAGTACTATATACAATAGTGCTCTAATTCTCTTTAAAATTGTTGCATCCCTTTTATAGAATGTTTATATTTACATAGGACTAAGTAGTCTATCTTCCCTTCTTATACCCTAGGATGAAGCTATGTTTTTGTGCTTTTTCTTTATCATTGGCCCTTCATTCCAAGCACTTTATGTTGTCTGTGATGGGATCTATTTTTGCACTGGAATATCTGAGAATTGCAAAACTAGACAGAAGTTTCACAATAGATTTCTAAGTTAAATCATTTTCATTAAAAGGAAAAAAGGAAAAAAAAATTTGTACTGTCTATAACTTTATATGAAGTATTAAAAGCATATTTCTATGTTGTAATGAGTCACGAAATAAAGCTGTGACGGTTCTCTTGGTCTATACAAATTTATTTCCGTGCATTCGTAGCACCACCTAGTGTTAAAGCAGTTTGGCTCAAAAGTAGAAATTTTGGAAAAGCCTAAACGTCCTGTTAATCACAAAAGAGAACCGAGGGGACTGCCTGGGAGTTTTAGAAAGGGTGTTTTGCACTTTCATGAAAGTCACTGAGATGAAATTTAAAAGGGTTTTAGATAAACTTATTTTGCTTGAGGGTGATGAAACGGCGATCTCTGAAAATCCTCTGTAGCTAAGCCCGCTTAACAAAAACCTCATTTCTTCATTGGGTATTGAGGAAGCTACAAAGGCAGCCTTCAGCTCTTTTGTTTATTCAAACAAAATAATGGACACAGTGTGGCGAGTGTGCGGGAGGTGCTGGGCTGGTGGAAGGGTGAGCTTGCAGGGGAAGGAGTGAAGGGGGACAGACTAGTGTCAGACATGCCCCCCTTCTCCCGTGAAAAGTGCTGTGCCGTCTACACCCGAGCTTGCGTAGTGCTGTGAGGAGCCGTGTGGATGGATTTTTCACAGCTCAGATAAAGTCTCAGAAACCGTGTCTGTTTATTTTGGTACTGGAAGAACGCCTGTCAACCACCCCTAGTGGGCAGCACAGTGGAGTTGTCGCTCTGTTTGTGACCCCTTCTGAATGGTCGTGGAATAAGCGGTCCTTTGCCAAGGGCACGGATCTGAGCGTGGTGTGCACCCAGCTGACAGCATCAGCGTCACCACCCAGTCTTCCCTCCTTGAAGTTTACATTACAGCGACTTCAATGAAATTGATAGAAAAGTATGGTTCTTTGTGAAAAATGACAACTGAGGGAGAGGAACAAACTATCGAAAAATGAGTTCATTTAGATGAAAATGGTACCCATGAGTCTTGACCAAAACATTCTCATCTAGAGAAAAGCCAATATAAACATGTACTGATTCAAACAAGAAAAAAAAAAAAATCTAGAGCCTTTGGGATGCTAATGAATACATTAAATATGAAAAAGTAACAAAAAATTAGCTACCTTTTCTAAGTGTTCAATGCGTTGTCAGGCACCTCCTTTATTCCTCTACTGTTACCTGCCTTCTGAGGTAAGTAGCAGCCCATTTGACACGAGTAAACTGTGGCTTGGACGATAAGGAACTTGTCCAAAGTTATACAGCTAGTAACCAGCAGAGGGTTCTTTTTGGTGAAGTTGAGTATTGGTTAAAATCATCCTGATCAGCATGGCATCATTTTTCGATAATTCAACAAATATTTATTGAACTCTGTTGTGTGCCAGAAACTTTTCTAGGTTCGGGGCCCGTTGTTGAAGACAATTCCTGCTCTACTGAACTTAAATTTCAGTGGAGTTACATGCACATTCATAATGGATGTGTGGACAAAGACACTGAGTTCAGACAGCAGCTAAGTACCAAGACAGGAACCATGGTAACGGGATAGCGGTGGTGCAGGGTGGAAGCACCAGACACAGGGAAGAACAGGAATATTCGGGAGCTGACAGGCTGCACGTAGATGAGGGAAAGAGAGCCATTAAGGTGACTTAGTTTGTGACCCATACTAGGTAGGTGGTTGTGTTAAAAAAGCAGTTGGTATTTCAGATTGGAACTCAGAGGCAAAGATAGGAAAGAAGACAGAGCGTGAAACGGGTGTGGCTTGGTGGTTGAGCGTCGACCTAGGATCCAGGAGATCGTGGTTCGATTCCCAGTCAGGGCACGTGCCCGGGTTGTGGGCTCGATCCCCAGTCGAAGGCGTGCAGGAGGCATCTGATCAGTGACTCTGATCATTGATGTTTCTCTCTCTCTGAAATCAATAAAGATACATGAAAAAGAAAGTGTGAATCATCAGCACATATGTGGTATTTATGCCTTGGGACTGAGTGAGTTCATATTCTTGAGCTCTGAGACCCTACTACACTTAGAAGGGAAGCCAGCAAAGGGAACAGAGGGACTGGCCAGTGAGGAGGAGGAAAATCTAAGGGTATGACGCCCAGACTCAAGGGTTTGAGGGAGGCAGAAGTGGTCAGTTGTGTCCAACACTGTTGAGAAGACGAGCCACCTAAAGGCAGTGAGAGACCTTTGAATATTGTAAGACGGAGGTCCTTAGTGTCCCTCAGAGTCATTTCAGTGACTGGCAGGAGTGGAAGCCCACCTGGGTGGCTGGGCTCAGGGACGATAAGAGGTAAGAAGGGAAGACGGGGAATATACACGACTCTACCGAGAGTCTTGAGTTGACGGGAAGCAGAAAACATGACAATAGCTGGATTATAAAACTTTTACTTGGATTCGTCTTTTTTTTTCAATCCTCACCTGAGGATATATTTTCATTGATTTTTAGAGAGAAGAAAGGGGGCAGGGAGAGAGAAACATCAGTCAATTGCCTCCTGTAACTGCCCTGACCAGGGATCGAACCCGCAACTTAGGTACGTGCCCCGAATCAAACCTGCAAGCTCTGGTGCACAGGACGATGCTCCAACCAACTGAGCCGCCGGCCTGGATTCTTGTCCTATAATAGTGTAGGCTACACCTGAGCAACATCTCGCCTTTCTGGATTTGTTTGTTTTTTTTAATCCTTCAGACATTTTTTTGATCAGGAACCTTACACACTGAATGTTGTTCCCATTTCCCTTAGCTAATTCATAATTTACTCATTTATTTCCAATATGTCTTAGAAATGTAAAGAATACAGCTGTAAATACAGGTATCAAGAAAGCTTAGAGGTAACAAACCTAGTTTTTGAAAGGCAGAGGCACTCAACTAAAATGGAAATTAAAGGTGTTTCAAGGAAAACCCTAGCATGTCTGTGGTGGTACTAATGAAACTCTCCTGAGATTATTACCATCATGCTGGTTTCTAAGTGTAACTTAACATTTACAATTATGTTGGTAAATGTTACTGTGTCAGTACCCTATAGCAACACTGAAAGCTCCAGAGAAGATAAATAAAAAATGCAAATTAAAAACCCCAGAACGGATATGCAGGCTTTTATTAGGGAAAGCATTTCCATAACCACAAAATCTCTTTTCAAACAAATAGATGTCCCAAGTATCTTCGTCAGTGATCCAAAATTAAAAAAAATTAATAACATTAAGTATACACGAACACATTTCAGCATATGAAACAAGTCTTCTGAAGTTTTTTTAAATATTGATACCTAGTTACATTATTTTCCAAATTAGAGTGCCTAACAGCATGAAAACTGTAACTGATACAGATGACACAGGTGATACTGCTCCAAGGTAAAGAAATATATTTGGTATAATATCCTTATGAATCCCATTTGATATTACACAATAAACTTCAGTGGGCAAGATATTTTTTAAAATCACAAAAACAGGCATGTTGAAAATAAGAGACATTGCATGGAAATAATTTAAAAATACTGTCAGGCATAGAGATGTAAAAACATCACTTAAATATAAGAAAATGCTATAAAGCAAAGGGTCATCAAAATAGAGAATAAGAGATACTATGAAAGAAATGAAAAATCCAGATCATGACTAGTGGCAACTATTTCTAATATTACAGCTGCTGAAATGCCACGGGGACAACGAATAGAACTATTTTCTCAGGTGGTAAAGACAAAGAACAGAGGTGGCTTTAAAAATGCAGACACAGCACTTTAACTTACCACCTTTTTCAAATAAAAGTGAGACGCCCGTGGGAGAATTTAAGTACCATTAGCAGACCCATCTTAAGACAGTTAAATGCTTTGTATTTTGGTGGGAAACTATTTCAACGGCGAAAATGACGTAGGAATCAGAAGCATATTCTGCTGAGACACTAGGAAACTGACACATTCCCGAACTGGAAAAACAAACAAACATTATATAAAGTTATTGACTAAATCCAATTTGTCCTAAGAGTAACTCATGCCCAGTGAAATGGCTTACCAGCTGCCACGACTCTGGGATCCTCATGAGCCTGATGTCTCCCAGCTGCACGGCTATCTGCGCTCTCATTCCACCAAAGAACATGAACTGCGGAGAGAAACCAAAAATAGTGTCTAAAGACTCCGACGTTGCTACAAGTAAGAAACGCAGAAAAATTAATCAGGTATGTTAAGTCTTATCCTTTAAATCAAAATAGTGAGTACCAAAAAACTATGTTTGTGGTAAGATTTCAGTTGGGTCAGAGACTTGGGAGAGAGATTTAGCAACTGATTAACAAACTGGTTTTATAGGCGAACCAATTCATTCTGCCGTTTCATAGAAGAAATGGGCACCGGTACCTCTGTTGAGTGCTCCATACTCTGTGTGGAAAACGCCAATCAGTTTTGAGTAGCCAAGATTGACATGGGCATTAATCGCCTTTTTAAATGTGTCGCCCCACAGAGCTGGCCCACCTGGTTTCATCTGAAAAGTCACCAGTTCATAGACTCCTAGAGCAGGAAGAAAAATCATTATTTTACAAAAGATGCTCAAGAAATTTCTCATCAGGTTAGAATGGCTCCCGCGGGAGGCTAACGCACATACACAAATCTGGAGTATCACACATACATGCGTACACATGCATGTAGACACATTTGTGAGTTCTCTGCATCATTTTTCCTCGTGTTTATGTTCAGAAAGTCCTTGTCCATGTTTAAGGGCCGGTTGTTAAGTTTATCACGCAAAACCAAAAGGAAGCTATTACCTGAAATATTTTTAATCCATAAAATTTGTCAATAAAACAAATACTGAGAATTTATAATAGGATTAGGAATTTTGAGCTGCCTAAGTCTATACTTTTAGGTAAGAAATGAATAAAACAAGTATTTTCTGATCTATATTTCCTTCTTCCTTCCAATTCTGAGAGAAAATGCTTCTTTGTTTGTATAATTTCCCGATAGGATTCCACGTCTAACAGGAACAGCAACAAACAATGGACCCAAAGTGATATGAGATTTTGAGGGGGGGAAAAGCACCCTAAAAAATGAAGGAGATAACTTTTATTGTCCCTAAATATCCAGGTAAACTCTACCTCTGGTAAGAAGGCTGGGGCAAGTAGAGAGACAGGAACTAGGGGACAAGTAGATCTGAGAAGTAAAAGGAAAGAAGTGTAAAGTGTCTAAAGAATTACGGGCAACCTAGAGGGCGAGAACCAAGACCAACGCTGCTCTAGAAGCCACTTCTTTCATTTAGGGAGTGCCGAAGGCTGAGGGGCGGTCTAGGAGGGTAAGGATTCATATAAAACTTTTCGAATCTCTTGTGATCTGAGAGAACACCACAAAATTAGTTTATGTGTTGTTAGTTTATGCTTTTAAAAAATCTGACCTTTGTTTAAAACTAGGTTGAGGTAAATATTTCCTTAAAGTCAGCAAGAAAGTGAAATCAGCAAGATGACAAATCTTTAGTAATTATTTTCAAACTGAGAAATAAGAAAGAAGAAAAGGGTTAAAATATAGTAACAGATCTTAACAGTCTACGTTAATTCATTCCCACCAGTCAGTCTTATAAGCAAAGATATACTTAATGTTTTAAGATGAGCTACAATTTGTGTAAAAAAGTGACTAAACTATGACAAAATTTCATACCTTATCCTTCACCTACCTATACACATTTGCCCTAAATACCTAACTTCTCAACCTTTACTCCCCGCACCATGTCAATTTTTTATATTCATACCAAAACTTTAACAAGGCCTTTTCCAAATTGGGAAAACACTTCTAATGCTCATCGTTTTAATGAGAATCTCTATAATCATGATATATTCCTTCCTAACACAANGCTTTTCCAAATTGGGAAAACACTTCTAATGCTCGTTTTAATGAGAATCTCTATAATCATGATATATTCCTTCCTAACACAAAGCATTATTGTATTTTTTCCTAATAAATTATAGTTTTTATAGTTTCAAATCTTTAGTATGTTCTACATCAAAATTCAAAGTGACTAGGAGGGAAGGACTTACCTTCTTTTGGAGGCTTTTCTAATTTGCACCATGGTACCAGGTAAGTAATCTCACTCTCTTGTTTATCCATGAGAGCCAAATTTGGAATGAGAAACTGTTCTTGCCATTCCTTATCTTTGGCCAAGGCTTTCCGAACTTCAGTTCGATGAGCAAAATTATCTATGAGAAGAAAACGAGTAAGAAAAATAAAAAACTTTGTTATTTAAAATAGTCTAGACCTTTGGATTTCATTCAATTCAGCAAATGTGCATCAAGGGCCACATTTGAACCCTGCGTTAACTCGCTGTGTTCCCAACCCCCCCCAAATAGATGTGACATTTATCCCCAAATTTCTCATGGCCTAAAAGGGGTGTAGAAATGTAAACAGCTAATGATAATGCTGTTTACAGTGGACTTTACGGTGGACTTTATAGGCTCTACCACTTAGTAGATAGTTGTGTCTTAGGTAAGTTATCTGTTTCTTGCTTTGTGAAATGGGGTAATGATATAGTATTTACACCTCCAGGGTTGTCGTGAGAATGAAATGAATTAGTACATGAAAGGAGCTGAGAACAGTGTTTGGCAGCTAGTTAGTACTCAAAATATGTTAACTTTTCTTATTACTTTGAGACATTTGTAGTGCCAGTTTAGGAAAAGACCGTTTTCCTTTGGTGGTTGTGATGGCGATGGTGGTCGGGTCAAGGTACACCTTGAGTTAAATTTAACGTAAGTGAAATTAAGATGCAAGTTTATAGTCCTGGCCGGTGTGGCTCCGTTGGTTGGGTGTCGTCCCATGCACCAAAAGGTTGCAGGTTCAATTCCCAGTCAGGGCACATGCCCAGGTTGCGGGCTTCATCCCTGGTAGGGGGTGTGCTGGAGGCAGCCAATCAATGTGTTGCTCTCACATCAATGTTTCTTTCTTTCCCTCTCCCTTCCTCTCTCTCTAAAAATCAATAAAAAATATTTTAAACAAAGGAAATGTTTTCATAGTAACAAATAATAATAACTCTCCCCTCCTTTTATGATCTTAACACACTTGGGCTTTTACAATTACTGCTTTAAATTTTTCTCAAATTATCTTTATAATAATCCCTTTTATAATTTTTTTCTGAGAATTAAAATCTAGTTTGCAATTTTATGATGGGAAATATAAGATGCCATTTATGGTAGCATAAGGCTTTGAGCAAGGGGTTGTTAAGAGGAATGCTGGACACTGGGAGGAATAGCCAATGAATTTTTGTTGTTGTTCTGCTTTTTAAAAGTGTGACCTGTGTGTGTAGTAATGTAAATCCAAGGACTAAGTTGCGTATGACATCTAACAGAGTGAAAGTCTCTCATACCATATTTCCAAATATGAAATACTTTATTCATTCTGCCTCCAAAGTCCACACTCCAGTATCCAACCAATTCAGAGTGAGCTGTCCGAAGATGTGCATTTTTCTTAAAATTTTCCAGAAACTCGTTCATCTTTGAAGGCTTAAGACAATAGGTACGAAATTCATAGAATGTTCCATCACACTGTCTAGGTCCTGTAGCAAAAGATGAGTACACCTAAAGAGAGATAAGGTGAATTCAAGTATTTGGGGAAGGTAGGGTTTATCACATTATGCTACAACCAAACCTGAACTTGGAAACGAGGGACACTCATTGGACTCAAAGTCCATGCTTGTACCTCTGTTGTCATCTCTCCGTTGACATTTGTTTAGAGAGATGTAAATAAAGATAACTACTCTTAAGTATGGTGAATACATAGCTACTGTTTCCTAGCAGGGGTCCACCATTAGCCACCTTTCATGAAGAGTTAATCATAAAATCATGAGGCACTGGGGTCTTAATCACTCCTTTACCCAAGAACTACAGTTAGGATTCTAATAAATTTATACGTTTTACCTTATTTAGCCAATATTATATCTTTAGTTGATGCTATGTGTGTCATGGTTATGCATTTAAATGAACTTTATAAAATATGCAGGTATTTTGGCAGGCATGATAAAAATGTGTTTACTAGCAGAAATCTCTATGAATTCTGTAAAGGAAAAAGCAAAAGGTTGGAACCGTCTGAATCATTATTAGGTTTAATTACAGACGAATCTGAAGAAGGGCATTGAGGCCATCTGATTGTACCAGGTTGATGGAAATACCCCTAAGAACTATTAGTTCTTTCTGTATTAGTTACATGCTCACTATATACATTTTTGTTCTAATTCAGTGCCCCCAAGTCTGAGTGAACTTAACTTTAGGTAGGAAATGCCCTGTCAGAAATTATCGTCTGTGTATATATGTGTGTGTATACATTCACAGGTGTATGCATACATATGCACATGCCATTTGCATTTACAAACCTATCTAATTATAGGTTTGGTTATCATGTGCCAATTTTCTGAAGCTCATTAATCAGAATTACCTATTGAAAGTTTTGGGCCCTAGCTGGTTTTGCTCAGTGGTTAGAGCATCGGCCCGTGGACTGAAGGGTCCTGGGTTCAACGTCGGCAAGGTTGGCATGTATGTTGGTTGTAGGCTCGATCCTGGGCCCCGGCTGGGGCACGTGTGGGAGGCAACCAATCGATGTCTCTCTCACACCTTGTGTGTGTTTCTCTCTCTCTCTCCCCCTTCCACTCTGAAAAGCAATGGAAAAAATATCCTCAGGTGAGGATTAACAGCAACAACAACAAAATTTTGGTACAAAGTAAGTTACGGACAAATTATGCTGACTACCGAGTAGTCAAATGAAATCAGTAGACTTCTTTCTCTGACATATTTTTGGTTGAAACACACACAACTGTCTACGTATTTTATTTAATTGTGTAAAATGTTACAATTCTAATTATAGATCTGAGTTCATTCCATTCACGTCTACTGGAGCTTTGTCCCTACTGCCCACTATCTAAGCTTCCNAAATGTTACAATTCTAATTATAGATCTGAGTTCATTCCATTCACCTCTACTGGAGCTTTGTCCCTACTGCCCACTATCTAAGCTTCCCTGGGAACCAGGTGTTCCCACCAAAAACAATGGGGCAGCTACTCCTACTTTTGGATGACATGCTTTTTGTGTAATTTTAACTAAATTCTAATAAGAGAATGTTATACAAATGAACAACTGCCTAGTAGTATAGTTTAAAAAGTATTATAGATAAAATGTATCAGAAAATGGGACAGCCGGGGTATGTGTAACAATTGCTTTGTAAGCTGACTGTCCGGGAATCTGTATTTGGGAACAAATGTGTGGTCAAAAGTTATGAAATTGAGGGTCCTTATGACTTTGATTAAATTTAGTTTTAAATCCTAGTTCTAAAAATCATCTCTGTCTACACCCCTCAGAGACCTAAACTCGCCCCCACAACCAGCAGGTCGGGAGGCGCGCGCCTCCGCGGGCTCCGGTAACCGCCTTCGCCCAGGTTTGGTGTCAGCTCCTGAGCCCGAAGGTGCACCGTCCCCTGGCTACTCCCACGAGACCAGACAGAGGGGACGCTGGAAAGTGGCGCCTCGCCTCGCCTCGCCTCTGGCCAGCGAGCTCCCAGCCCGACCCTGAACCCCCAGCCCCTAATGCCCGCGACGCCGGGCTCCCGCGCTTGACCTCAGCCTCCCGTCCTCCCGGGACACAGGAGGATCCCGCCGCTGCCGCCCGGGGCCCTGCGAGCACGCGGGGGGCAAACTCTCCGTTCGTAACAGGCACAGAGACTTTACCTTCTGTACGAGAAGCAGGGACGGGGAAGCCCTGGGAAGGGTTAACCAGCACTGAGAGTGCTGGGGGGGGGGCTCCC